TGGTACTTATCTGGGACCTTTTGGCGGGGGGCAGTCAGTGTGACCTTTCACTTACTTAGCCCCTCTTACCTCAGGCCAGAAAGCCTGTATATTACCTGGAAATAAAATAATAAAAGCCAGTCTCTGCTGCTGGATCTGTGCATGTGGCCAAGTGATTATTTGCAAGACTACTGTTAGGGTTTCAGTAGGGGATCCCTCAAGGTGTCTGCTAATAACATAATCACACAGGGTGATTTTAGTGAGGCTGCAGGGGTACAAGGCTCTTCCTGATGTCAAAAGCAATTCCATTCTTCTTCAGGGCAATTTTCTGCCTTTCTTGGCCCGTCTTCCTCTCCCCCTAGTCTGTCCTAGCTTCCACCCAGTGTTTTCATAAAGAAACAACTTTTAGATAATGACTCATGGTAATCACCTGCCCAGCCAAGGATATATCTGGGTGCCAGACAGCAACTATTCAAGGGGCAGGCAAGCTGTAAGGCCCCCATGTCCTTTGAAACCTGAGCTTAAAATCTCTGCTCCATCTTTCAAGACAGTCTGGTTAAAGTGTGTATAGAAACTTTTAAAGCAATTTGATAGTCTATGTCTGTTTGAATCTAATAAAAAAAACTTGGGCTTGTATTTCCTAAGTCTTAACTTGTTTTATTTTTCATTTCCTTTTCCTATTGATTTATTCTTAGGTTATTTTGTAAATGTACCAGGGCTGAATGGAAAAAAACAAACAATAAAAATCAACCGGTACACAGGCATTTGGAGGAAGAGCGCCCTAAGTCATGTTGCCTCCTGCTTCTTCCCTGTGTTGATGCAGTCTGCTCCTCCCAGGGTGTCCAATGAGGAGTGGAGCGGAGACCCTGCAGCCCCTAGTGTTTCTCCTCAGCCCGTCCATCCCACTTCTGGGGACCTGGAAACCCAGCAAGGCGGGTGGACTGAGCTGCCACTCACCTCCTCCAACCCTCCCCACTTCCAGTCCCACAGCCTCCTGGGTCAGGAAAAAATGTATCATTAACTTCTACTCTACTTAAATGCAATATAGTCTATCAGGTCTAGCCCTTGATATATGTAGTGCAAGTTAAACATTTTGAGAATCCTTTCTTTCTCAACTGTGTATTTTCTAGTCTATTGTTATGCTGCAAAATTCTCTTTGAGTGTTAGCTGAATAATAACTTCTGTTCTTTTCATTCCTTCTTTGACAATCTTGATCCAGTCTGTACCTCCTTCTCTCTCAGGATGCTTCGGGTTTACTAGCAAGACATTCATGTTTCCAAAAAGCTGGAAGAGAAAAATCACATTTTTCCGTTTAAAAAAATACTGTTTCCTCTTTCACAGTGTTATGAATCAAGTTATTTCAACAGTATCACTTCTGCCATCACATAACCACCACTGAGCCCAAACAGCACCTTAATAACCTGAAGAACTCTCAATATATAGTATGATTATTTTTATTGCATCGCCTGTGGTGAACAGGCAGGCTCGTTCTCACCTTTCAAGTTTCAGCTTAAATGCCACCACTTCAGAAACAGCTGTCTTGATGAGTGCCTTTCCTTAGTTTCTATCTTGTCATCCTGCTTATTTTATTCATAACTTTTTATCATGATGTATTATGTTGCTTCTTTTTTTTAAATAAACTCCAGTTTATTTTATTTTTATCTTAAGCATTTTGGCCAGCTTTATTGAGATATAAGTAACATACAATACTGCATAAATTTAAGGTGTACACTATGTTGGTTTAATATATGTGTATGTTGCAAAATGATATAGTAGCATCAGCTCACACCTCCATCACATCACATAATTACTGTTTCTTTTTCTTTTTTTTGTTTCTCATTGACGGTCTATTCTGTTAACAACTTTCAAACATGTATTACAGTATTATCGACTGTAATTACCAGGTTGCACTTCAGTTCCTCAGAGCTTATTCATCTTATAATTGGAGGTTTGCCCTGTTGGACCAGTGTCTTTTTATTTTCCCCTACTCCCCCAGCCTCTGGTAACCACTACTCTACTCTCTGTTTCTATGAGTTTTGTGTTTTGTTTTTTTAAGATTCTTCATATAAGTGATATTACACAATATTTGTCTTTCCCTGTCACTTAGCATAATGTCTTCAAGTTTTATCCATGTTGTCTCAAATAGTAGGATTTCCTCCTTTCTCATGACTGAGTGATCTTCTTTATCCATGCATCTGTAGATGACCACTTGGGTGGTTTCAATATCTTGCCTATTATGAATAATGTTGTAATAAACATGGGAGTGCAAATATCAGTTTGAGATCCTGTTTTTATTTGCTTTGCATATATATATATATATATATATATATACACACATATATATATACACACACACATAAGTGGTATTGTTGGATCATAGGGTCATTCTATTTTTATATTATGTTGCTTATTTATGTGTTTACTTACTAATTGTCTTTCCTATAAAAATGTAAGATATAAAAGACCAGGAAATGGCACTTAGCAGCGTTTTTTAAATCTTTGCTGAATAGGTGAAGAGGCAGTAGAGAGCCCCTTGTGGGCTTAGACAGTGAACTCTGCTGAGGCAGGGATGGCATCACAATATCCCTCCCGCTCAGCTTGCTGTGCTCGGAGGATTCCGTCCTATAGGTGTAATTTCATCTTGCTGCTCAGGAAGCACTGCTGGATTCAGCCTGAAGCATTCAAGTTTCATAAAAGGAGAAGGTGCTAGGTGGTGGGGCTTCCCCAGGAGAATTCAGGTAGCTAAGGGTTGGGAGGTAGGATTGTTACAGCAGATAGTTCCTTCTCCCAAGAAGGGGATGAGTCACCTTCTGTGCCTGAAAACACAAAAGAGAACTAATGGGACCCCAAGAGAAGCTATAACTTCTGGTTATATCCCAGAAGTCCTCACTTTCTCGATCAAGTCTGTTGCCAATTTTGAGGATTATTTTTGTGGCCCAGGAGATGTCCAGGCAGGTGATCAAGGGAACTGGTTGTTGCAAATGAGCATCACGGTGGTGCCCTGGGCAGGGGCAGGATAGACGATCCGGTCAAGTATCATATTCCCAGGTGAAGTGGCCCAGCAGGCTGGCACTCTCCTGACAGCATGCCACTGTCATGCTAAAGATGACTCCTGCTCTTTCCCTGGAGTATTTTGTGATCAGAAACTCAAGCCAACACAGCTGCTACTCTGCAGGGCATTACCATTCACTGCTGTGGCCAGAAATCTGGGAGCAACCCTGGTCACTGCCCTTTCGGTTATCTTCCCCATTTGTCAAAAGCCAATTATGTTGATTCCATCTCCAAATCGTCTCTTGACTGTTTTGCTTTTCTTCTTCTCCTTAGTGTGTTAGTCACTCAGGTCGTGTCCAACTCTTTGCGACCCTATAGACTGTAGCCAGCCAGGCTCCTCTGTCCATGGGATTTTCCAGACAATACTGGAGTGGGTTGCCATTTCCTTCTCCAGGGAATCTTCCAGACCCAGGGGTTGAACCCTGGTCTCTCGCATTGCAGACAGACTCTTGACTGTCTGAGCCATTCTTGCCTGAAACTGACCTATCATCTTTTTCACCTAAATGATTGCAAGGACCTCCTGAGAGTTTATTACAAATCACATTTGCTTTCTTCTATTTCACTTTTCATGTTTCAGTCAACAGAATCTCAATCAAGTCCCTGCCCAAATTAAATTCTTCCACGGATCCTTCTATTGTTCTGTTCTGTTGTTCTGTGATCTGTTCTGTTCTGTTCTTCAGTGATCCACACCTTTCTCTTTGGCCTCATCTTATTATACTTTCTCTTCTGTCCATACTTGAGGTTTTCCTCTATTTTTTCCAGTGTCTAGAACTTACTATGCATTTTGTTTCTTAAACCTTAGTGCTTTTGCACTGCAGTTTCACTTTGTCCAGAATATGCGTTCCCTTCTGCCCAACACACCCAACTGGCACTATCCAGCCAGCTCCTCTCCACCCTTTTGATTTTAACTTAAATTTCTTTTTTCCTATCTCACTTCTCAAAGGGTTATACGTAAGCAAGAGCTTAAGTTACATGTAACTCACTGATGAAGGAATCAATAGGAAAAATACTGGCTCCAAGATGTATTGAAGAACAGGGTTTATACATTCTGATAAGAAAAAGTGTCTTGGGACTGGCATACACATACTACTATATACAAAATAGATAATTAATAAGAACAGCACAGGGAACTCTAGTCAATACTCTGTAATGACCTCTATGGGAAAAGAATCTAAGAAAATAGTGGATGTATATGTATGCATATGATTCATTTCACAGTATAGCAGAAACTAATACAACATTGTAAATTAACTATATTCCAATAAAAATTTAAAAAAAAAGTACACGGTTATACCAGGTGCATGTTAGGTCCATTTATAAAAAAAGATTTCTCAATATCTTAAAAGAAATGTCAAAATAACAATGCTAATTTATATGCAAAACTGGTTAATGTCCTATAGGGTAACAATAACCTAACTCTTCCTTCTTACTTACTACAAAGTCATGACACCTTACCAGGTGAGTCTGTATTCTTTCAGGTCTGTAAAATGTCCCTTGTCAGTGGTGAGTTACTTTTTTAAAGTAACATTTGCTGAGAGAGTCACATGAAAATCAAATAAGCTTATTGACAATATTCTTCGGTATGATATAAAATCTCAAGTCATTATCATCTTGCCTTATTTCCAAGTTTGGAATTACTAAATTCAAAACATTGTAAATTATATAATATTTATAAAGAATAGAAATTTTTCTTTTTAAAAAAAATTTGCAGTATAGTTGTTTTACAATGTTGTGTTAGTTTTTGCCGCACAACAAAATGAATTAGCTCCATGTACATATATAAATATCCCCTCCTTCTTGGACCTCCCCTGCACCCAGCCCACCCCTCTAGGTCATCACAGAGCTCCCTGCGCTATACAGTAGCATGTTCCCACTGGCTATCTGTTTTACACACGGCAGTACATTGGTAGAACAGAGTCTTAGCCACTGGACCACCAGGGGAATCCTGATTTCGTTGGCTTTCTGTATCATTTTTCTGTTTTCTAATTTATTGGTTTCTACATTTTTATTTATTACTTACTTTCTTCTGCTTGCTTTGAGTTTAGCTCTTCTCTTTCTAGTTTCTGAGAGTAGAATTTCAGATGATTTAGACCCTTCTCCTTTTCTGGGCTTCCCTGGTGGCTTAGCTGGTAAAGAATCTGCCTGCAATGCAGGAAACCTGGGTTCGATCTCTGGGTTGGGAAGATCCTCTGGAGAAGGGAACAGCTATGAATTCCAGTATTCTGGCCTGGAGAATTCCATGGACTGTATAGTCCATGAGGTCAGAGAGTCTCAAAGAGTCACATGACTGAGTGACTTCCACTTCTTTCCTAATAATAAGGAATCACTAATACCACCTACATTTCTCTCCAAGAACTGTTTTAGCTGCATCCCACAATTCTGATATCATGCGTTGTCATTTTTATTTATTTCAAATATTTTCTATTTTCCCTTGGGTTTTATTCTTTGACTCTTGGATTATTTATAATTACGTTGTTTAACTTCCAAATACTTGAGGATTTTCCAGACACCATTCTGTTACTGATTTCCAGTTTTATTTAGTTGTAGTTAGAGAACATACTGCATATGATTTAAATACTTCTAGACTGTTTTATGCATTGGAGAAGGAAATGGCAACCCACTCCAGTGTTCTTACCTGGAGAATCCCAGGGATGGGGTCGCACAGAGTCGGACATGACTGAAGTGACTTAGCAGCAGTAACAGCAGCAGACTTATTAAAATGTGCTTTATAGCCAAAAAGATAGTCCAGCCTGGTCAGTGTTCCATGTGAACTCAGAAGGAAAGTGTATTCTGCTGTTGTTGGGTATAATGATCTATAAATGTCAATTAGGCCAAAGTGTTTGGTTGTGTTAAGTCTTTGAGGTTTCCCTGATGGCTCAGATGGAAGAATCTGCCTGCAATGTGGGAGAGCTGGGTTCGATCCTTGGCTTGGGAAGATCCCCTTGAGAAGGGAGTGGTAACCCACTCCAGTATTCTTGCCTGGGTAACTCCATGGACAGAGGAGCCTTGTGGGCTCCAGTCCATGGTGTTGTGAAAAGCTGGACACAACTGAGCGATTAACAACACATTGTCTTCTACAGCTATTTCTGTCTATTTGTCTATTTACTATTTACTAAAAGAGGAGTATGTAAGTTTCCAACATATTTGTAGGTATTTCTATTTCTCCTATCAGTTCTTGATTTATATATTTTCAGACTCTGTATTTAGGTAAATACTCGTTTATAATGATTATACTTTTGTTTTAGTGGATTGGCCTCTGTCTTAAACCTAGTAAAATTTCTTTATCTAAAATCTATTTAATCTTGTATTAATATAGACACTTCAGCTTTCTTCTTTTGATTAGCATTTGCATGTTATATCTTTTTTTTCTCCTTTCTGTTTTAACCATCTGGGTCTTTATGTTTAAAGTGGGTTTCTATTTGCATTTAGTATGTAGTTAAGCCTTTTAAGGGCTTTCCTGGTAGCTCAGGGGAGAAAGCGTCTACCTGCAATGAGGGAGACCCGGATTTGATCCCTGGGTTGGGAAGATCCCCGGAGAAGGACATGGCAACCCACTCTGGTACTCTTGCCTGGAAAATCCCATGGATGGAGAAGCCTGGTAGGCTAGAGTCCGTGGGGTCGCAAAGAGTTGGACATGACTGAGTGACTTCACTTTCACTTTTCTTTCACGTTAAGCCTTTAAAAAAAATTCAACCTGACAATCTCCACTTTTTAATACTTTAAACCTCTTATATGTAATGTAAATATGTGTATGGTTAGGTTTAAATATACTGTCTTGTTAATTGTTTTCTATTTTTCTCAATTGCTTTTTTCCTTTTTTATTTTCTTTTCCTGACTTCTTTTGGATTTAAATTTTTTCTCATTTCATCTTATCTCCATTAGGCTTTTAACACCTTAAAAAAATTTAATGAATGCGCTATAAAATATAATATGTTTTTTAAACTTTTTGCAGTCTACTTACAAATAACGTCCTACTATTTCACATACAGCATAAAAATAATACAAAAGTATTATATGTACATTTATCCCTTCCTTTTCTTTATGTTTCTATTATAGTTTACTTCTACATATCTACATATGTTATATGTCCACGATAATTTTTATTCTTACTACATAAAATATATTAATATTTAGTATGTTTATATTCTTGGGCTTCCCTGGTGGCTCAGTGGTAAAGAATCTGCCTGCAATGCAGGAGACGTGGGTTTGATCCCTGGGTCAGAAAGTTTCCCTGGAAAAGGAAATGAAAACTCTTTCCAGTACTCTTACCTGGGAAATACCAAGGACAGAGGAGCCTGGTGGGCTACAGTCCAGCAGGCTGCAATAGAGTCAGATACGACTTAGTGATGACACAACAATAACAGCATATTTATATTCTTACTGTATAAATATATATATAGTTATTCTACTATAATTAATTACCTTTTATAACAACTTTACAAGAATATAATGATATAACATATCCATATTTAAAGTATACAAATTACTAAGCATGTACCTATGAAATTAGCACCACAATCAAATAATGAACATATTTGTCACCTCCACAAGTTTCTTTGTGACCCTTTGTAGTCTCTCCTTCTTGCCTGCCCATTCCTGTTGAGATGATCATGTAATTTTTTTCTTATATCACTTATTAAAGTACTGAATCACAGCTTCAATCCTCTAGTCCTTCCTTGTGGTTCTT